ACAAGCAGACTCTCAGATTCACAAGTCTTTCTCCTAGTCTAACTGGATTCACAATATGGCCTAACTCCTGAAAATCTTGACACCTTAGCTGTGCATGTCATAAGCTGGATTTTTAAAGACATTAATCTATATTGTAATAAGAAATCCCTTTTGAAAATCTGGTTTACAATGTTTGAAAGCACAAAAAAAATAGTCAAACCTGGCAACACTAATGACAGTAATTTTAACAACTGAAAGGGACCCAGCAAACGGAAAAACATCAGTCCAAATACTGCTGCTGTCCTATTCCTTTTGCTAAACCCAAAGGACAATTTGAGAAAAGATCAGACCATTCAGTGGAATATTATTTACTGGTTTTGTGAGCCTTTGCACCTTACGCAATTATTTTTCACCAGTATCACGTATTAGAAGAGAGCATTTATCTCAGTTATGGCAAGGAAAAAGTTATTCTTCTTAGAAAAAAGGAGTTAGTACTGAAATGAAGTAAAACAAATCATGTAAAGTCCTTTCACCTTAAATGAAGAGTATTACATTTTCAGTTTGACAATAGCAAACTGCTAAATTCTCTTAAAACTTAGTCAACTGTTTTCTAAAGCACACTCTAAACTCCAAAAAAGTATGGAGTAACCACCTCCTATAATTTTAACAGAGATTACTCAAGAGGATTTTTCTGTTGTTCATGGTGATGGAATTCTAGTGCAAAGAGCCTTCATTAACATTGTTTACATTCAGATTTCTTCTAGAAAAGATAGTCAGCCAAATTTGAGATCATTCAAAGACAAGGTTAGTTCCCTTTATGTATATGATGGTCTTTTAAAAAAAAAAAAAAAAGCTTTTCTTTTTCTTTAATTTACCATTTACTGTTTCTTTATACATACATGTGCACAGATATACTCCCACACCAGTGGAGCAGCTCCTGGATTAACTCACTCATTAGTTAACCTTAATGTGTCTGCAAATCTGTTATGTTTTTAAAACTTAAAAAAAAAAAGTTCTAGAGCAAAAGAAATTTTTATTAATGTGATTTTCTGTATGTAGTTACTATATAGCTACTAGGAACTAACTATGCCCCACTTACTTTTTCCAGCTCCAACTAGAGCCACAAGCTATTATCGGTAGCTGCAGTAAATCCTGAAATACAGTAATTGAAGTTAAAGCTATGTAATTTAAGTCCAGCTGGCACAATCAAAGTAATTACTGAGCATGTCTTTCAGAAGAAAAACAAAGCACAGTAAAAACAGAATGGAATATAAATATATACTACATTTTTTAAGCAACTATCCACAGACAGAAGACTTTGGAAAATAAAAAAAAAAGTATGATGTTGAGTATGACTGTCAAGTGTCTGAGCGTCATTGGTGTGACTTTCAAATGTATTAAAAAAGGATGACACTGGAATTATATTGTTACAGCAATGAGTTCAGACTTCAAAGTCCAGAGTCTTGTATAACACAAATTTACATGTACCTACAAACAAAACATATGTATTTTCTTGATAAGATCCTGACACCCAATTCTAAAAAAAATACGGAAAAGATTTTTCCTGGTTAGTAAATCTACACCTTTTCAGTATTTCTGACTATTGTAGCAACATGAAGAGAGCAGTCCAGCTAAGTCCTGTATCACAGGTATACTGCTCTTGTCACCTAGAATACCACAGCGAGGCTTAGCCTGACCATCTCTGCCATCTCACATGAGGATCTCTCCTGTGTCTGGCATCAAAGATTATATACCTACCCAGTAAATACTTCCATTACCTTTGCTCTGAAGTCTTCACATTTCCACATAAAACAAAAATTTCAAGTATTACCTCACAACAGCCTGTAACTCAACGTTACGAAGTTGGAGTTTCCTCTACAATTCAGTAACTGGAAGCTCAGTCTCCCGGTTCCCTGACGCGCAGTTGCAGCAGCAGGGTACCAGTTATTCTGTGGTGGTCTCTGCTGTGGCAAGAAAACCTACCCTCTTCTAACCATGCGAAAACATTTCTGAAGCAGTCTTGACTAATTGGTATGTTCTTTTCAAAAAGCTTATAACGAAAATTCCCCCATGTGTGTGGTTATAGGATCTGACTAGCTACTTGAAGGTAAACGAGTTGACAAAAATCAGTGTGTCTTCTTGTTGAGAATAAATTCATTGTAATCAGTTTTTCACTAACTACATTCTATTAGTTAGCAGGCATATTGGTCTCTTGGAGAAGTTCTTGGGTAAAAAGTCATTTTCTGAACACCCAAAAAGCAGCAATCTCACACATGTGATGAGTGGAAATCTTAAAAGAGGCTGCAGTGGAGATAAAGGGATTAATGTTCTTAGATGAACTGGGAGCTCTGATCTTAGTTTTATCTTTTGTGAACTCAAGTCACAAGTGACACAGGTCACTTAAACCAGAACTGTATACTCTTCTGTAATGCAAATGTGTAGGAAAAGAAAATGCTTCTTCCAGGAATCAGAAGCAATAACGTGATTCTGCTCTGGATTAACACCAAATTCTACAACTATGATTTGAAAAATTCATTGTCCAGATCCAAACAATAGGTAATTTCCACCTAGGTAAGATCTGAAGGGCCTGATCATAATCTTCACTGGGCGGGAATTTCCACAAAGCCCCAGCTAAGCACTGAGCATTCCAGCGCATCCGAAACCTCATCGCTCACCTTACACGTTACCGAAGCTCAGTGCCTATTACTCTGCTTGAATTTACTGATCCCTCAAACTAAAAATACTACTTGCCGCCCAAAACTGACAGATGAAAAAGAATGTAAACCCATCATTGTCCACGATCCTGTTTGTCTGTGATGTCACTTACTAAACAAGTCCAACAGATCTATGGCCGAACCCAGAGTCTGAAATAAATGAGAACCTTTCCACTGAAGTCTTTTATCTGATGCCATTAATCCCCTTCTCACAAGAAGATATTTTGTCTATGGACACAATTCTGGAAGAGGAGAAAGTCATTTGGCCTATTTTACGTACAGTTCCATGATACCGCCTAATTAAAAATTCACCACATTCACTTAATTCAGCAATCTTTCATGTTCTCCAGAGAGCAGTTTGAATAGGTTCACTAAGAAGATGATACCCATTAATCAGCCTATTTTGCAACCTCCGTCAAAGTGGCAGAATACCGACTAAAGCATGCAACGCTGCCGCATCATTTTCATCTCTTTGGTGATAAAAAGTCAAGCAGCAATATTCCTTTTTTTTTTTTTTTTTCCCCCCCTTTCCCACCTCCCCCACGCAAATTCAGGATAAAATAAAAAATTTTCTTCTTGGAGACAAATTCTTACACACATAAAGACGATACTCAGGTGCAAATGAACTGTATTTTCAAGGCTTACAGAAAGGACATTTTTTTAAATGCACCTTTAACTGTCCCTGATTTCACTTCATGAATCTCACTGATAATGCTGATTTTTATCTAACTACTGACTTCAGGGATTTATTTATAAATACGGCTGCATTTCTTGCTTGTAGCTGAACATCTTAACCAATAACACTTCTGTAAATACAGAATGACTTCACAGATTTCACTGATCTAATTTTGGATCGACTCAATTAACATGGGCAAATTAATGAATCAAGTTAGCAAAGGGCTACTATTTAAATACTTTTTCTCTCTCTTCAAAGAGCATAGCTGTAGTTAGAAGAGGAGAAACATCCACACCAAAGTTTAATATAATTTTGAGCTGATGAGACTCAACCTATCAACCACTGAGCCCTAAATGTTTCTTTTCAGGTTAAAAAGAGGTGTTATGAATGAAAAACAGCACATCACTTACTATGATGAATAATTTCTGCTGCCATACATAAATATGGAGTAATATCAGCATGTGTATGTGTAAGCAGTTAGTAAAAAATAGAACAGGGTATTAAAAAAAAATAAATTGAAGCAAATTATAACTGAAATCATCTACTACCTGGGCTTTCCTACCCAAAGAAACCAATTACGCTAAAACAGTGCAGTAGCTTCAACTGGAACCTTACTGACACACATGATGTTCTTATACTTCATGACAATTTTTGTTCTGTGTCATGATTTTGGAACGTTTTTATTTTGGAGAAAGTATCAATTTCATTCACATTTCCAGTAGCTACCTCTTTAGGAGACCTTGAAGAGCCTCTTATATATTTTGGGCACCAAGAAAAATCAATGCTAAAACATGTGAGAGGTTAGCAGAAATAGCTTTCTGAAAGCAGATCTCTTTCTTTCAGCATTAGGATACAATTTCTAGCTTGATGCTACACTTACTGTGAGCAAAAAGATGCTTCACTGTATTTGTGCAAGGTGCAGCGCTATCTGTGTGTACTTCAGATGGGTAATACACGGCCAGGGAATTTCAAAATTAATTATTTTGAAACGTGCAAATTACTACTCGTGTGTGTATATACATACTCATTTTCAGATGCAAGGATGGGATTATTAAAAAAAAACCTCCTTTCCTACAAAGAACTTCTTTCCTACTTTCTTAAGTAGGAAGACAATTGAAGTATCAAAATGGCATTGACCGAGGTACAAATATGCCCCAATTACAGCTATATTTTTGTGTTACTTCCCCTCCAGACTTTAACACTTTTTATACATGAATATCTGAAGAAAATATCTGTGACGATCTAAAGCAAAAATCAAGCAATATAACTGCAGCTGTGACAATACTGAATAACATGACTATACAGGAATAAGCACTGAATAATAGTAACTATTTCAAAGGAATTTCAAATACATGTTTTCAAGTGATTGTATTATGAAAGAATATTATGGGAAAAGGTTACAATGGATATATGAAAAAAATACATTTCTGCCTTCAGTCCTTATTTACCGTTTAGAAGGTGAGAAAGTATCAGGAAATTTATGGCAGCACTTATTTCTCTAGTCACATTTAGTCTCCTCTTTCAAAGAACTTGGAGTTTCAGGGTAAGTATGCCCTTTCCACACTTAAATACTACAGCTGTAAATGAAGAATCATTAATTCATAATTAGTCCAGTTCAGACACAAACTTACCTAAAAATGGATCACTGTATTCTGTATTAGACAGCTTAAGCAAGTTGTTTTCCAAAGTCTCCATCACTTTAGCTGGAATAAATGAAATATTCCTATCAGCATTCATATGCATTTTGTCAGCAAAAGATACACTTTTTAAAGCTGTCAGTGACTCAAATGAAAAATTCTAGGCTGCAGTTCTGATAAGCACTTTTCATTGGTGGAAGATAAACCCCAAGATCACTTTAATCAAAACTTTCACTCTATTCGTGAGAGAAGTTTAACTCGGTGAAAATATTTACTAGAGAGCCTATCAACATTAAGGAAAGACCTGTGAAAATTTAGCAGCAGAAGCCAGCGAAGTTAATTTATTCTATAAAGGTTCACACACAGTTGGCAATCGTGTATGGCAATTGTTGGCAACAGGTGACACACAGAGTGACTGGGATTTCCAACTATGTTAGTCTCTCTGTTAAGGCATGTTTATCTGTTTAAACAGAAATTAAAAGTAGTTCCTTTTTCCAACACAAGCTAAAATCATTGGGATTTTCTCTCTTTTCTCTCATTCTCTCCATACCACTCTTCCCTGATTTTGCTATTTATGAATGAATGCATGCATCTGCTTCTACATGTTCTTATTTAAAGACATTTCTTGCCGAAAGCCTAATATTTATTTTTTATCTCTCCTAGGACAGATTACAGGAACCTTTAATGCTCTTCTCCAGCATAGAGGAGCACCTTGTCTTAATAATCATTTAACTCAGAAAAAAACAAAACAATAGTTTAAGCCTCACTTCAAACATTATAGTGATTCACTCAAGAACTTGGTACCATGATTGTTCTAGATGTTTTGCGCAAAAATATCTAAACAAATCAAAGCTTACCAGATGCCCGTATAATTTAATGAAAGATGCTAAAATAATTATCTTTAAAGACACAACAGGACCTCAAATGATGTTCCCATAGATCCCTTCCTTTCCCAGTGTTGGAACAAGCTCCTGAAAGAGAAAAATGTCCTACCTCGTTCTGACACTACATCCACTGTAGCTGTGGATGTCCCTGCACTTAGAGGTTGAGGCTGGGGCTGTGGCTGCACACGATTTGGCTGCAGGAAGGATGAATGCTTGCTCAGACTCTGAGGATGTGTTTGGCTCTGGGCTAGGCATGGCATAGATCTTCTAGAGGGTTTTAATGGATGATCTTTCACTGTCTCACTCTTGCTTGTATTCATACCTGAAAAAGACAAAGTATAAAGAACATAAGCTCTGTCACATTACATAAAGACAGACAGCTAATTATGAAAACTCAAGGCGATTCATGGACTTAATCAGCAACTCTGCAACTAAATAAAAATGTTTAAATTATTTAAAGTTCAAAGAAGAATACAGAGTTGGGAACAAAATCCAGGAATTCTTCACCTACGCTTCCATCAACATCCCACAATTCAATTTCACAGAATTCTCAATCTGATGATCCTGGGTACATATGTCATACAGCCATTGGGAGGCAAACAACAGCACCTAGTCTCATCCACATTATGACTGCTAAACAAAATTTTAATTCCGTGTTAAAAATGAATAAACCCCCTCAAGCAAACAAAAAAATTGAATACAAGCAAAACACGTTCACAAGCTTTCTGAAGGATTCATGAACACCTTCTCCTTCGAAATGCAGCTGTGAGTTCTAATGAATCCATTAGCTGTTCCTAGCTCTTCTGGGACCCATGCCAGTCTTGAGTTTGCTGACTTTAGGTTCAGGTGCCTACATACAGACAGATGCACCAGTCAACTGTGTGGTAGCAGTGAAAATGTCTGAAAAAATCAGATTGTTAATTTAAATGAAAAAAAAAAAAAAAAGTAAAAAAAAAGTGATTTGGGGATCCCTCTTTTCAGTGCATCATTTTGAAAATGATGCAAAATTCATTCCCATTTCTGAGTTTCTCCCATCTTAATATTCCAACACGTATCTCAAAATTTTTTATAATCAGCATGGTCTCTAGTTTATCTCCTTGTTGATGACAGACCAAACAATGCCATAACTGCTTATACTGCCTGTCCACCAACAAGAGATCGGCTGTATTTTCTAAGCACCATACAGCCACTCACTGACCCCCTGGCAGCGAGCTGGGGAGAGAGAATGGGAAGAGCAAGAGTGAGAAAAGCTCTTCAGCTGATACAGATAGTTTAGTAAGTGAAGGAAAAAACAGAACAACTAAAACAAAACGACGCAGTGGAACTCAGACACTACCTCCCACAAGCAGCCTGATGCCCAGCCGGTCTTCAAGCAATGACTACCTCCCTACCAGTCAGATTTTATTGCAGAGTGTGATGGTCTGCGGCATGGGATGTTCCTCTGGTCAGCTGGGGTCAGCTGTCCTGGCTGTGTCCCCTCCCAGCCTCTTGCCCACCTCCAGCCTGCTCTCTACGGAGCAGACAGGGAAAAAGAGGCAGCCACGATGCTGCACAAACCCCGCTCAGCAATAACCAAAACACTGAGGTGTTAGCAATACTGTTTTAGTCACAGATCCAAAACACAGCACCGTACAGGCTGCTATGAAGAAAGCTAACTTCATCCTAGCCAGACTCAGTAGATACACTCAGAAGTTAATGCCAGCAATTTTTGCTCCTGTCTTAATGCATCAAGTTGTTCCACCAAGAATAATACAACATGATCTCTGAGAGTGCTGCCTGTTCTGACAAAGACAACTATAGAGAAACACATCACAGAAGAAAAAAAAAACATAGTCCCCAAAATATCTGGGAAATCTTTATGAACAAGGATCTTCACACAAACAAAGTTTACCAATACACATTAATATACGCCTGTACCAAACCAGAGGGAAAAAAATCCACAACATATCTATACTTTCAGTGCCAAAGAAAATTAAATACATGGCATTTGCGCTAAAGCCTCCCGTCTGTACAGGATCAGCAGATCTTCTGGGATTGCTGTACACAGTGTCAAAGATCCTCAGAATATTAGCGCAGAGAGTCTGTTTTACTACACTATTTCTCTGCGTGACAGCACAATTTACTCTACATCATGTTCTTATAAATCTTAGTCTCTTAGTGATACGTATTACCTCTCTCTGTGCTAGAAAGTAATCTAAACATTTCTGCCGCTTGCAGTGCCACGAACTTCGAAGGAATTTCCCCCATTAAAATCTGTGCCACGCGGAGAAGGATGTCACACTCAGCAAATCTTTCTCATCTAAATCTCAACATCCACAAGAAAGGTCCTTTGATTAGCAGGATACCCCTCATCTCTAACTATAATAGCTAAGGTTTAAAAAGGCCTTTCATTTAAAAACTTCCCCAAGCTCACAGAACATGCTTTGCTTCAGCATAAGCCTTGCTCCGTCAAGAAATGCAAAACTTCATGAGTCCGTTGAGAGCAGTTCTTCCAGATCTGCAGCACAGCATAACTGTTCTTGGTCAGACAAGTATTAATTTCAGAGGAGATTAAGGTAGACAGAGGCAAGCTTCTGCTGCCTCAGAAGGGGTCACAGCTCTTCAAACAGGTATGAGCAGTAAGGACTCTGCTTTCTTAACGATTCTGAAATGGATGCTCTGGGCCAGCGAAGCACACAGTGCCACTGGGCTGTAGCACAGACGGTGCTGTGTTCGGCGCAGAGCAAGGCTACCTAACGTGTCTGTTGGGCTACCTGCAAGGTTTCTCAGAAGTATTCTTTGTAGCTCTTCCTAAACAGATGCTTTTATTACACCAAAGTCCACAGCAGTTGAACAGAGCAACAGGTAATATCGAATAATATATAAATAGATTTATTTCCTAATCATTCTGGATGGCTTTAACGATCAATTCCTTAAGCAGTGATACGCTGTCAGTAATTATGGAGCCTCCCACATAATTATTAATGTTACCAAAAAAGAGTGTTTCTTGCATCTATGTTGGAGTCACTGTGTATAACAAGATGAATCACTTTATTACCAAAGAAATTTATGGTAATGCAAATAACAAATGCTGTCATTCGATTTTAACAACAATTGAAGTGATACATATATATATAAAAAAAAAAAGAGTATAATTCTTATGAGGCACTGCCTCATTTTAAAAGATGATTACTCCCTTTTTCTCTCTCTCACTGTATATTCCTCTGTGTCAGTTCAAACAGATTCCTTAATACCATGATGCTTCTGCTTGCAGAAAGTGAGTCACAGCAAAGCAACCTCAGAGCACATTTGCTGTTATGCTAGTAGTATGTTCTACCTTCATGAATCAAATTTAACAAGTTAATTCATTCTCTGCTAACGTGTCAGAGTCCAGTTCTGTGACCTGAGAGTTTTGGTGGCATTTGCTGTTGCATGCCAATGCTTACCCAGCTCTGGCACACAAACAGCTTGCAGTTGACATCATCAACTGGGTCACGACATTGATTTACTAAAATTATTTTTATTCCTTCCTCTCTTCTCCATAGGGGTGTTTTCTAGAATCTGTACCTTTCCAAATAGAATTTTGTTACACAGACCTTGTTTGTTCAGGGATATTCAGATCTGCAATAAAAGACGTGTTTACACTTAGCAAAAAATAATACACTTGTTTTTCTATTTGAACTGCACTTATTGGTTCTTTGCCTACAAAATAATCCTCTGACACTTAGTATGAGTATGGAAATGAGTACAGCATGAGTATAGAATTTTCTCACGTTGGAAAAAAAGGTGGTTAAAGTTTATGGTTTTATGAGATCCTGCCTTTTTTTTAGCACTTCTGCCTTGGAAAGTGTTCTTTCTGAGGGGAAGCAGGGAATTCCTGTTATGTAGGCAAATCCCTACATGGCTCAAAGCCAGAATAGCCAGCTGTACTACATCTTCTCCTAGCTTCCTGGCAAAGCAGGCTGGAAAGATGGAGCTCAAGTATTATGAGCTTTTCAGATTGTTAAATCAGTATGCACAATTCAATGCATGCTTAAAATTATGCCAATCTAGAAAGATTCTAATCCAGGTTTTGGCCATTAGAAACATAAATAAAAATTCTCCTCTGTCTCATTCTGTGAAATATAGGTACAGCCAATCACTGCTTTACTACTAAGGGGGAAAAAAAATGCATTTCTTTTGTTCCTACTTTAGATGAGGAATGTTTGACAGCTAGTCCATATCAGTGTTAATCCAGTGCTGGAAACACTCCTAACACAGCGGACCAGTGTTAATTTCAAAGAGAACAGCCCAGTAACTACTGTCCATTTAATCCAGCACAAACCTCAGTGTAAAAAAAAGGAGTAGCTCCTCTAGAAATCAAATCAATATCATCAGCTTTATAGCCGGTATGCTATATAATAATATCCACAATCAATATCAAGATCTTGCCAACTACTCATGTCATCACAAGTCTGCTTGATAAAAATACCTTCTTAATTGTAAGAAAACTTCTGTAAAGCCTTTAGCTTCACATACCGTACACCACTAATTAAAATGAAATGTCTTTCATAAAACACATTAAACAGACTGAGAACCTGATAAATCTCAAATATTTCTGTCAACAGCATCATCATAATTAGAATCTTTAATCACATAAAATATGAAGAAAAGCTTGCAACGGTTTTCATGACATTTAAGTTCAATGTGAAAACATATTTCTACAGTATTATCAAGTATAAAATAGCTCAATTTTGAAAAGCATTTAGTTCTCTATACTCAATGGATAGAACAGGTTCTTATTGCTAAAGAATAAGCTTACTGTGATTGGCAGCTGCAATCTACAAAAGAAAACTTAATGTAGGATAATCACGCTATTAAATTCTGAGAAAGCATAACCCAAAGATGAAATTAATGAAGAAATAATGCATTATTTCAGTAACAATAGAGGTTGTCTTATCTACTCGTAATACCTCAAGAAATACAAAGGGTATTCAGTTTCACATATTAGACCCTGAGCAAGTAACTGAGTAAGTCAGGAATGTACCCATACTTTCTTCTTTTATATAAAAGGTAGACTCAAACTGGATAACCTCTGATTTGGTTTTACATTCTTACAGAGAAAAACAAACAAAGAAAAAAACCAAAACAGCATCAGTATTCTTATTGCATTAAACAACACACTTAAAAAGCCTCATCAAAACTGGAGAAAGTTAACCAATCCTTTTCTTGAGAGGAAAAAAAAAAAAGACACATACAAAACATGGGAGAAAACAGCCTTCAAGAATGAACCATATTTCTCTTCAGTACTATCAATACATCATGAAATCTTATGAATTTCAGTGTTCCAATGCTATTTTTTAG